TCGTACTTCAGACAAAATACAAGAATAAAGCACGACAATAACGGTACAATGTGGTACTTTTAATTTAAAATCTTAACTTTTAAATAACAAAGGTGTTTCAATATTTAATATTTCATTTTACTCACAAGTAAAAAAAAATCAAACCATTGTTCTCATCTCTCTTAGCCGATTGTAAATGGTTAACAATTTTTTGTTTTAATCTAGAAAAAAAATAGAGGGGGCGGTCGATTTTTACATTTGTATAAGCCAAAAATGGCTCCAGAGCCATGGGTTTTCAGCCACTGACCTAGACTGACGGTAACTAGGCTTAGTTTGTGCATGATAATATTAAAATATAATGTAAAGACCTATATGCAAATAAAATGATGAAGTCAATTAGAGATGATGATGAATTCATTTTTTTAAAAAATTGATTCTTGCCTTGTAAGTTGCAACGTTCCCTCTAAGAGGATAAAGCTATAGTGCAACGTGAATTTTGTGTGAGCGGTGTTCTAAAGGTCTTGTACACGGATATATGTATTTTACAAAAGGATTATGCGATAGGTTCAAAACTACTGCGCAGCCGCGCTTAGATGGAGCATAGTTTGTAAGGATTTTTTTGTTGTCCAATCTTAACTTACTCTACGAGTCCGTTGCTTGTATAATTTTATTTTTTAAATTCTAGACTAAAACGCTTAGTATATAATGTTTATATACGTAAAAGTAAAGTTCCCTTTCAAACACGACGGCCTATGGGGCAAGTGAAGTAAAGTTCACTCGTTTCTTTTTATTCACGAGTTGAGAAATTTTATTATTTCTTTTATTTATGTAAAAATATATTATATGATAATATTATACATTTAATTTAGTGTAGTGATATTGGGCATGCAAGAGAAAGAATGAATGTGTCCTTTATGATGCTTAATTAAATTGTCAAAACTAGCAGACTTTGCCACTTTTGAAATTTACACATTTTTATAAATGTATCGCCAAAGTAATTTATATTTGTTTACAACTCTCAAATTTAAATATTGTAAGGTGGACTGTTTGTTAACAAATTAATATTGTAAGCTGTTTGTTGACAAATATATTAAGCAGATAAGTGCAGTATATTTTCTTTCGTTGCTGTAGTGTAGATGTTTATTTGTTGTTTTCTTAAATATAAAATTCTATTTTTGACATGAGTTTGATTGTAAGCCGAAAATATTGTCATGTGTTCATTTTTATCTGCTAATACAAAAAAGACTGCTAACCCGAAAGTCTCGTGTTCAAATCTGGGTTCTATTTAGTCCACACTACTCCTTCATATACCGAAGTCACAGAAAGCGTGAAATCCACTTCCCTTACCCCATGGACCGTCATCTTCAAAAAAGGAACTTTACTTGCTAATAGCTAATACATTTTTAAATGTAAAAAACCGTGAATTTAACCGATATTTTGACGAGACGTTAAATTTAAGCATATTATGTGGAATATAATCTCTAGCTCTGTGTTTCCTCTTATGTCTATCGTAGGTCTATATGCAAATCTAGGTCTATTCGTAGGTCTATATACAAATTAAGTTTCAATGAAATAAAGTTTCTTTTTTTTTTTCGGAACTGACAGTCAATGGAGCGGGAGAAGTGTGTTTTACTAGTCTTAAGCCGTGACGTCATTTGTTATTAGGTACCCATTTGAGCTGGGTGGACTCGGGGACGTACTGATCACTCGAGTGTGTTCATTTAATCAATAGTAGAGCTATTGTTAAAACGCAGCTGTTTACTGTTTTCACACTAAGCACTCAGTGTGTTAAAACACTTCAGTGTGATCAAACACAATGTTGTCAATAATGTAGATGACACCCTATTAAAAAACCCAAAGTATTGAAACAGTAAACTCTAGTGTACCAACACCGCAATACTATCCGACTAGCCATACCCCCCACCATACATATCAAATTCTTAGTTATAAAACCGCCAATGATAGGACCGTCTAACCCAATACTAGCTGCACGTATTTGTTACTGTAAACTACGGCTAATCGATAACTAACACCGGTTCTACAGAACGCCTTTGTCAGTATTAGCAGTTGCGGTGCCACTAATAAAATAAATATAATGCCATTGTAAGCCTAGGTTTAATTAATACCATACACAAAAGGGGGAATAAACGGACCGGCGTTAGCGCTAGGTACACAAGAATTAGAAGAATAGCTGGCTCTGTGATTGACTATAAAGCAGTGTTTCTTCCAGACTTTTTTCTCCAGGGGGGGGGGGAGCGGACACTGGTAAAAGTATATATTTTCTATATAAATTCCAGATGCCTGGAAGAAACTCTGCTATAAAGTGTATGTATATTTAGATGCAGTACAAATAAGTAAATAAAGCTAGTTTCTTTCTTATCAAATGTTGTTGTTTTTTTTTTGTTTTTTTTTTGGCTAAGATATTATCAAGATAAGTTCACGGGAGTGTAACGCTTTTAATGTTTTATTTAATGACAGATAATTAGGTTTGATCTTTTGTAGTGCGTTAAAAAGTTTTCTAGTATAAAGATTTTTATCACACATGTTTTATTTTCTACGCTTTTGTATTTAGGAACTTAAAAGATAAATACAAAATAGGCGTCCGTATTTGCTGAAAGATTTGTAAACATTCATGAACATCAACTCACTTGACTTATTGCCAGCACTAAGTTACCTCCCCTTTTCTCATGGAATTATGTAATTTTTAAATTAATTTTTTTAAAGATTGATTTAATGTATAATTGGATTGAGATGAGATATTTAGATTAGATATACATTTAGAGAATTAGACAGATACACCTATCCTCAAAAGCTTTAAAGCATTCGCTACATTTAGGGTAGGTCAAATAGTTTGATCACAAACAGAGCGACAGAGATACAAACGCACAACCGGATAGATACATTGGAAAAAATTATGATTTAAAATTAAAAAATAAACGGTTTATTAACAACAACAAATTATCTTTCTGTTCCAATATTTAAAAAAAAACACGTAGGTCATAGTCCTCTATATAAATAGATAAATATTTAAATAATTGTTCAATACATTTCAAAGTTTTCAAAAGAAGTAGGAAATAAACATGTGCGTATTACTATTGTTAAAATAATTGTTATTACAAGATTAATATTATTTTTAAAATTTTACGACGTTTGTCGAATTCGTCAAAGGCGACTTGGTAAGGCAAATTTAAAATTATTTATAAGAGATTGTAAAATTAAGTATAAAATTTTTTAGTTGACTTGATAAGTCAAGTAATATGTGATTGACTTGATCAAAACATATATTTGAACATCTTTTGTTTTAGAACCTGATTTTAAAATGTATTTTTTTTTAAATATAAGCTATAGGCCTAGATACATTAAATTAATTAAAAAGGAGTGCCAAAATTGCTACACTTCGTATTTTAAATGTACAATCTCTAAACATACAAAATAGATAAGTCAAGTAATATATAACTGACTTGCTAAAAACGTATTTGAACAACATGTGTAGTAGAATCTGATTTTAAACTGTGTTTTTTTTAAATATAAGCTACAATATAAAATCTCTAAACAAACGAAAGAGATAAGTCAAATAATATGTAACTGACTTGATAATAATGTATTTGATCATCATTAGTTGTAAATCGTATTTTAAAATGTATTTTTTTTAAATATATAAGCTATAAACAAATTTAATTAATTAAACATGAGTGCCAAAATTTATACATTTGCACATTTAATGTACAATCTCGAAACAAACAAATAGACAAGTCAAGTGATATTTTAGTGACTTGATAATAATGTATTTGATCATCATTAGCTGTAAATCTTATTTTAAACTGTAATTTTTAAAATTATAAACCATACATCAATAGATGTGCGCAAGTGTATAAATGTCTACATTAAATGTACAATCTCTAAGCAAACAGAAAAGAGACACGCGAGATTTTTCAAACAAAGCCCTGGTTTTAAAAAAATAGCACTTAAAAATTATAATGTGTGCCTTTATACTAGCATTAATCAGCGCAGTATCTTTGGCTTGTATCGGCGATTTCAAGGATCAATAACTATCAAACAATTATCGATTAGGTTCTAATTAATACAGATTTGTCTGAACTCTTGCCTGTAATCAATTTAAATGTACAAATGATTATTTTATTGGCTTGTTAACTGCATGGTTGAATTTTATTTCACACTGAGGTCGATAATGCAATTCTGGCTCTGGATTATGGACTTAATTTAATATTTTTTTCAAAAAAAAATATTTAATTTCCAATATTTTTTTTAAATAATTTTTTACTGATGAATTAGTGGATTAAAATTTTAATGATATCAAAATGATGACAACTTATGCCGTGTTTACTAGCGTTGGTTAAGAAAATATTTATCGTTAACAAGAGTTATAAAAACATCTGTACGTGATGTCAAAATGCGAAAATTTCGTGCGCCAACACTACATGACATCTAAAAATGTGACAAATGGAAGTGACGCTATGGTGTGACGGGTGTCACAAATTGACAACATGTTTTGCCATCATGACGTTACAGCGTTTTGTCAGCGGGTGACTTGACGTCAGTAAGACGTGGCATGATGACAATAAGACGTCTCTTCATGACGCCTTGGATGGACATCACGTCACCAAGACATGACATGACAACGTGACAATGGCATCATGAACTCAATAAGACAAACACCCAACAGCAGATGTCAATTCTGTCTTATTTCAAGAACCAAATTCAATAATCTTTGATATTTTCGCTAAGCTCTCTGCATGTGATATCTTTTCTAAGCTCCCTGTATGTGATATTTTTGCTAAGCTCACTGCATTTCATATCTTTTCTAAGCTACCTGCATGTGATATCTTTCCAAACTCCCTGCGCGACATATCTTTGCTAAGCTCCCTGTATGTGATATCTTTGCTAAGCTCCCTGCGCGACATATCTTTGCTAAGCTCCATGTATGCCATATCTTTGCTAAGCTCCATGTATGCCATATCTTTGCTAAGCTCCCTGCATGTCATATCTTTACTAAGCTCCATGCTTGCAGTATCTTTGCTACACATGATGTCTATGTTACGGTCGGTCTTTTTTCAATTCCTAACCCTACATCTAATTTATCAAACCCTAACTCCATTATAAGACCTTTTTTTTTACACAGACAAACAAATCAGCTCTGTTGACCTGGGACCCTATGTATTTCGGTACTCTCTTAATCTAAAGGAATTATGGCTTCTAATAGAATGACAAGGACCTATCTCTACTCATCCCTCCCTCCCCCTTCTCGATATATATATCTTATGCCTAAGATGCAATCTAGCTTTAAAACATTGTAACATGGGATCAAGGTGCCATCTAAGTTTGAAATAACTTGTCGTTTTGTCGGCTATGACAAGACAGTTAAAACAGTTATAAATAGACTGGTGGACGTCAAAAGAGAGATACAGAAATAAATATACAAGCAGCTGGGACATTAGAAACAGACAAACAGACACAATAAACATAACAAGAGAAACCGCGATAGAAAAATTGATACAAATTTAGAAACAGCTATACCAAAAGGAGATGCTTAGAGATAATAATACAGAAATAGATACAACACAGAAACTGATATAAAACATAGATACATAGAAACAATAATTTAAAAAATAGATTACAAAAATAGAGATACAAACACAGAAACACACAAGCAGAGAATAATAGATTGAAAGAGATACAAACTTAGAGGTACTAAATGAGAAATATACAAAACAAAAACATAGAAAAATGCAATTGTTTGGTATATCCACTGAAATCGAAACGTTCTAGAATTAACATTTAGACAAACAATTAGAACAGACATGAGACATACAATCACAGTATGTATTTGCCTTAACAGACCAACCAAAAGACATATTAGAGTTAGATACTGAGACACACTAGCTAAAACATCAACTAAAAGATAGACCATATGCCACATTAGACAAAGGATAAAAATTAACAAAGAATAAAGGTAGGTCTAGAGTCTACAGTTAATAAATAACATTAAGACTGCCGTAAAAATAAAAAATAAAATAAACATTATCTCTATAGTTCACATAAAAGTTTAAAATATAAAGATACATTTTTTTTTGTTCAATATAGAGTTATAAATTTTAGAGATAAGCTGATTACAACAATTAAAACATACCCAAAGATGATAAAAGTCCAAAATGTCTGTGTCAATCTGAAGAAAAAGTCCAAAATTTTGATTGCAAATTTGATGAAAACTTTCGCTATAGGCCGTTATTTCAATTCCAGCTTTTGACAAATTCTTAGCTCGCACTTTGGGAATTTGCTGGAATCTTCAATGTACTGAAGTCAAGAGTGGTAGTCCAATATTGAGTTCTAGTCCAGAAGTTTAATTACAACCACGGCTAATTAATTATATTTAAAAAGTTGTAGATCTAGTTCTAGGCATATTCTAATAAGCGAATTACAAAACTTCAAAAAACTGAAATTGGCGTAAATTATTTTCTGAATCTAGAATCGAAATTCCACAACCAGAAAGTCGGACAATTGTTCCGTAAATGGAACGGATTCCGATAGTTCTAGACAGTGGGATCTCCTTAGTCTGGCAAAACTGAAGTTGGCGTTTGAGTGTTTACACACGACTGCCGACAGGACAAGCCGGGGTATGGCAGAGCCTCGGCACTTGGGTAACTTCCCTGCCCCTACGAGCCACTCTAATTCTCTCCCTGTCAATCACCCCAGCCGATAACAGCGTTGGGGAACAACAAGGGGAGGGAACGCTGTTTCGTGAAATGAAAGGTCGACGCTAAGTAGGTTGTCGGCCCTTGTGGCGTGGCGGGGAGATGACGTGAAACGTCACTTCCCGTGACGTCGCGCCCGGGTTTGGCCCCGCCTACCGGCTGTTAACAAATAGCGGAGGAGATGCGACCGTGCCGCGTGAGTTTTATGGGATGTCATCCAGCGCGGGAGGGGGAGGAGCCCGGGGCGCGGATGGATGGCGATGTTCTCGCCCGCGGGGAGTTACAGTTGGTGCGGAGGAGGGAGTCAAGACAAGGGGTGGGGGGCGTTCTTCATCGAGATCGCTTGACAAGATCGGAGCTTCGATCTGCAGAGGATGAATTTCAACACCGCTCTGTCGCTTGCCATTGTTAGCCATCCTCTGGCCATTGCTCTGGAGTTTTGGACCAATACCGGAAAACAAAAGCAATATTTCAACTTTTTCCTACTTGACTTCAACTTAGCATCTTAGAGTTATTTTTTTAGACAATGTTGCAATATAGGCGTAAATATGTAATTATTCTTAAGTTTGAACAGATTTTGGTGAACCTAAGGAGTGGGGGGGGGGGGGTGCGATTATGAATCCATACCAGTACAAGCAATACTCTCAAACGCACGCCAACACACGTTATGGTTAGGGTAAAGACGGGTTTATATGTCAGGCATGTTTGACTGGCAGCAGAGGCGTAGCGACCCTTCCCGGCGCCCGGGGACATACTTCCAATTTGGCGCACCCTCGAGAGCAAATTTTCGATTTGCACCCCCCCCCCTCAAACTTTCAATTTGGCGCCCCCCCCCCCCTAAGGTCGGCGCCCGGGGACATATGTCCCCCCCCCGCCCCCCCCCCCCTCGCTACGCTACTGACTGGCAGTTTGCCTTCACGTAAAAAAAACTAATTAAACAGTACATCTTGTAGATCTAGTTAGTACACGGGGGGGGGGGGGGGGGGGGGGGGGGGGTTAGTGCACACACTTTTTATACCATCAACATTCTTTTTTTTACAAAAGGTCACTTAAATATTGTAACAATATATTTCTAACAACTTTACCCACCTAACGACAAAAAAAATCAAGCCATTGATAGCCTAGTTTCAATACAATCCTCTTTACCCCTTGGATCACAGGACCTGAACCACATCCTTCCATTTTGTCCGGTCCCCGGCTGCAGATTTTTGCAGCGTCCCAAGACATCCCTGCTGTCTTTAGTTCTTCGAGAAGACTCTAGAACCATACAGTTTATATTTCAATATACATACTTACATTCAACTAAACTGTATACTGTAATGGAAAATTAAATCCTGACATTATAAGCCCTTCATTATTTAGTAGTCTAGCCACATGCAGTGTTTCCTCCAGACATTTTTCTCCAGAAAGGGGGGGGGGGGGGCACTTGAAATTTTCAAGGGGGGGGGGGGAGTGAGCAGACTAAAATTTCCGGGGGGGGGGGGGTGCGGACAATGTGCCTGGAAGAAACTCTATACACAAGCCAGGGAGTGGTGTGTGTGTGTGTGTAAGGGGAGGGGGGGGGGGGGTAAGAGATCGTAACGCACCGGGTGACAGTATTTAGAGAGGTGACAGTGGTGAGACCCTGAGTTTATCATAATGAGCGAGCCCCGACCTAGTAACTCCACTGTTTATTTCTTACGTTCTAACTTTCTGCAATAACCACTAGACATTAGTTTATATTGCATGACGTCATTCACAAGCGACCGTAAAAACACATTTCTTTCTCGCGATACCATCAGACATGTTCATAACGTAAACATTAAGCGTAGGTTTGTGTGTGTATGTGTGTCAGCTTGTGAAGGGGGGGGGGGTGAGTTTTGTGTGTGTGTGTTTGTGTTTGTGTGTGTGTGTGTGAATTTCCATGTTTCCGTGTTTTTGTGTTTCTGTGTATATATGTCTGTGTGTGTCTGTGTGTGTCTGTGCTTCCATGTTTTTGTGTATGTGTGTCTGTACATTCTGTGTGTGTGTCTGTGTGTGTCTATGTATGTCTGTTAAGCATTTTCTTTCCGGCATCACATTGGTAGTGCAAGACCCCCTCCCTCTGACGAAGTACAAATATGTAGGGCCTTACATTGAAAATATATATTTAACTAGTACAACCCTTAAGCTAAACCAACAGTTTCCCAACAACTCTATATTGCTGTAGCAATAAGTTTCCTCACACCCCCATGGCTAAGGTAATAGATTCCCCCACATCCTCAATGGCTGAAGCTATAGCTTGGCCCCCACCCTACACAAAAACGGCTGCAAGTGATCGATATTTGGCCCAATAAAATAAATCAGCCTCATCAATTATCGTTGAGTGATGTGTGGAATAGCAAACTTTCGACAGGATGGTAAAAAAAAAAAACTAAGTCTATAAAATAGGAGGGGGTTAGGGTGGTGCGGGAGTAATGGTCAATGTTTATATGGTTTGAGCTATGTTCTCTCTATTACATCTGCGCGACCGCGCAGTAGTTTTCAACGGTCGAGCATGCATTTTGTAAAATACATAGATCTGTATTCTTGTATACGACTTTTTAAACAACGCACACACAAAATACACGTTGCACACTAGCTTTTTCCCCTTAAAGGGGACGATAGTGTTGAGTGATGTGTTTTGTTTCTTTCAAATAATTTTTATTATATATATATGTATATATATATATATATATATATATATATATAATATATATATATATATATATATATATATATATATATATATATCGTTTTTGCAACATGTTCCGTAACATAGAGGTTAAAATATAGTTAACAACCCCTTAAAATAATACAGTAAAACATACCGTATATGTGGCTCAGAATAACGGAAATCACAGTATTGATTAATTAAAAGGAATATATGAGGTGAAATGCGCGGTGCCTAGCTGTCATCCATCTCCATGTGACAACTGAAGTAGAGTTCAACAGTTCAACTAGTTCTGTGGCCTAGGCATATGAAGGGATAGTGTGGTCAGCCCAGCTCTTTACTTTCCCCTAACGTGAGTTGGCTTGGTGAACTCAATGGCATTTATGATGCTGTGTACTGGCGACGGCTGCTAACCAAAAAGTCAAGAGTTTGGAACCCAGGCTCGATACGGTAAGTCGTCTCCGGAACAATCTGTTCCTGATGTCCTAGCCTGGTGGTGCTTCCATTGACGGAGGAAGCAAAATTCTGGCGGAAACCCACTGGTCTAGTGGCAGGTAACATGGGTTAGAGAAAATGTTCGAGTCTTTATCTGTTCCCGTCTACCTAGCTAACGAGCATTGAAGACCCGGTAATGACACTG